GCTTTCTTTTGGCTTCCAGTAGCATGATAAATAGTTCTCCATCCCCTCACTCTCAATCTAAAGGTGTCCTCAGGTCTAAAATGAGTCTCTTGTAGACAGCAAATAGATGGGTCTTGTTTTTTTTATCCATTCTGATACCCTATGTCTTTTGGTTGGCGCATTTAATCCATTTACATTCAGTGTTATTATAGAAAGATATGGGTTTAGAGTCATTGTGATGTCTGTATGTTTTATGCTTGTAGTGATGTCTCTGGTACTTTGTCTCACAGGGTCCCCCTTAGGATCTCTTGTAGGGCTGGTTTAGTGGTGACAAATTCCTTCAGTTTTTGTTTGTTTGGGAAGACCTTTATCTCTCCTTCTATTCTAAATGACAGACTTGCTGGATAAAGGATTCTCGGCTGCATATTTTTTCTGTCTAGCTCACTGAAAATCTCGTGCCAATTCTTTCTGGCCTGCCAAGTTTCAAAAGAGAGATCAGTCACGAGTCTTATAGGTCTCCCTTTATATGTGAGGGCACGTTTACCCCTTGCTGCTTTCAGAATTTTCTCTTTATCCTTGTATTTTGCCAGTTTCACTATGATATGTTGTGCAGAAGATCGATTCAAGTTACATCTGAAGGGAGTTCTCTGTGCCTCTTGGATTTCAATGCCTTTTTCCTTCCCCAGTTCAAGGAAGTTCTCGGCTATTATTTCTTCAAGTACCCCTTCAGCACCTTTCCCTCTCTCTTCCTCCTCTGGGATACCAATGATGCGTATATTATTTCTTTTTAGTGTATCACTTAGTTCTCTAATTTTCCCCTCATACTCCTGGATTTTTTTTATCTCTCTTTTTCTCAGCTTCCTCTTTTTCCATAACTTTATCTTCTAGTTCACCTATTCTCTCCTCTGCCTCTTCAATCCGAGCCGTGGTGGTTTCCATTTTGTTATGCATTTCGTTTAAAGCCTTTTTCAGCTCCTCGTGACTGTTCCTTAGTCCCTTGATCTCTGTGGCAAGAGATTCTCTGCTGTCAGCTATACTGTTTTCAAGCCCAGCAATTAATTTTATGACTATTATTCTAAATTCACTTTCTGTTATATTATTTAAATCCTTTTTGATCAGCTCATTAGCTGTTGTTATTTCCTGGAGATTCTTCTGAGGGGAATTCTTCCGCTTGGTCATTTTGGATAGTCCCTGGCGTGGTGAGGACCTGCAGGGCACTTCCCCTGTGCTGTGGTGTATAACTGGAGTTGGTGGGCGGAGCCGCAGTCAGACCTGATGTCTGCCCCCAGCCCACTGCTGGGGCCACAGTCAGACTGGTGTGTGCCTTCTCTTCCCCTCTCCTAGGGGCGGGATTCACTGTGGGGTGGGGTGGCCTGTCTGGGCTACTTGCACACTGCCAGGCTTGTGATGCTGGGGATCTGGCGTCTTAGCTGGGGTGGGTAGGCAAGGTGCACAGGGGCAGGAGGGGCAGGCTTAGCTTGCTTCTCCTTAGGTGATCCACTTCAGGAGGGGCCCTGTGGCAGCAGGAGGGAGTCAGATCCGCTGCCGGAGGTTTGGCTCCGCAGAAGCGCAGAGTTGGGTGTTTGCGCGGAGCGAGCAAGTTCCCTGGCAGGAACTGGTTCTCTTTGGGATTTTGGCTGGGGGATGGGCGGGGGAGATGGCGCTGGCGAGCGCCTTTGTTCCCCACCAAACTGAGCTCTGTCGTCAGGGGGCTCAGCAGCTCTCCTTCCCTTTGTCCTCCAGCCTTCCCGCTTTCTGAGCAGAGCTGTTAACTTCTGACCTCCCAGACGCTAAGTCGCGCTTGCTGTCGGAACACAGTCCGTCAGGCCCCTCCGCTTTTTTGCAAGCCAGACTCGGGGGCTCTGCTTGGCCGGCGAGCCGCCCCTCTGCCCCGGCTGCCCCCCGCTGGTCCATGGAGCGCGCACGGCCTCGCCGCCCTTCCTACCCTCTTCCGTGGGCCTCTCGTCTGCGCTTGGCTCCGGCGACTCCGTTCTGCTAATCCTCTGGCGGTTTTCTGGGTTATTTAGGCAGGTGTAGGTGGAATCTAAGTGATCAGCAGGACGCGCGGTGAGCCCAGCGTCCTCCTACGCCGCCATCTTCCCTCTCCCCATATCTGTTGCTTTTCTCTTTAACGCCCAAGAGAACTGAAGATAGCCAATGTCATCCAATTTTATCAGCAAGACTGGGTACGAACACTAGAAAATTCTTAAAGATGCTGTTAAATGTTTCTCTCACTCTGCAATTACCTCCATGCCTGGTTTTCTAAATGGGGAGACTGGGCAATGTGTCTTTTCAGAAGTTCAGGGACTATAAATTCTATTAACAGCACTGTCTTCTCTGGTTTTACAAGTAAAATGGCACTTCACCTATAAATGCAGGGACAGTAACAATACGATCTCGGGTCACACTGACATCTTTGTCTTAAAGAGCTCATGTTCATCTCCTTCGGAAAGAAGGGGTAAGTGTTACTGTTTTCATTTTACTGATAAAGAGATGAAGGGGAGAAGAGGGTATAGTAAAGTGACCACAGAAACATAAGTGTCAATATAAGACTTAACACTCAGTCACAGTGGATGACAAATGATGGCATTGAGGTTCACTCCAGCAGTTTCAGGCCTCATCCCAGTGGCCGGAAGACTGGGACCACCAAACAGCACAAAGGGGGCGAGAACGAACTCATAGAATGCACAGCACGGAGGAACCGCTTTCCACAAATTGCCCCCATCTAAGGACCCTGTGTGGCGGGTCTTACTTTCATTTAACAAATGAAAACAGCATCTCTAAGAGGCTCACCTACGCAGGCGCTGAAGGCACTGCCTGATGAAGGCCGTGTGTTTTGTCCCCACACCTCGCAGAACTGACTTCCGTAACTTCTGCACGCTTGAAATCCACCTTGTCGGAGAACACTGCCTTTAGGCATAATTATCTCAGTTTTGCATCTGAAATTCAATTAGCTTAAAACTGCTGCCTGGGAGCCAGTGACACCTAGGAGTGGCATCCGTGATGGTCTCAGAATTTGGGATGAAAGTAGGAAAAAGAAAAGTCAATTTATATATGAAATCTAATTTGGGGTACCTTAGATAACCCATTTTATCTATTTCTTGGACTCTCTAGAGGAAGCTCTTTGTACAAAGAAGGTCTCCTCTGTTTTGCCATGTAGAAGAAATAAGCACTCAATCACCAAGTGCCCTTTAAAAGGGTGACTTAGTCTTTGGTCTAAATGAATTGGGCCTGTCACTTTTAAAGTGATTCATTCCAGTAAAGGATGGACAATTTATTACTTTTCAAAACAGATCACTGTGGCGTTGACCTAAAAAGTCCCGAGTGAAGCCTGCAGTGCCGGTCTGACCCTGCTGGGCCCAGGTCCTTTCTTCTATCACATAGCACTGTGCATCCTTTCACGTTAGGTGCTGCAATTGATATTTCTATTCTATTTATTCATTGCTGAGGTTAAAAAAATAAATATTTCAGAAATTAGCCATTTTCTACCCCCAGATATATTAAAACATTTAAAATGGAATTCATTTCTCTCTAGTTAGAGAAGCAACTCTAAACATGTAATTAAGATCAAAGAGACTTTTTTAAAGAAAAGGTTGGCAAGCGGTTAAGTATATCATTGATTTTGTTCCAATTTTAGTATGTGTGTTGCAGAAGAGAGCACAATCGCTGATTTCGGGATAATAGGTCATGTGTGTCTCTCCCCTTGCCCCATTCTCCTTATGAGAGTATGGAGGTATTACATACACAATTATTAATTTCAAGTATTTTGTTAGAACGTCACATGGGTTTACATCTGTGTTAGATATTGTAGGAGATGTCAAAAAAAAAAAAAAAAAGAAAAAAGAAAGAAAGAAATCCTTCCTTCCTAAACGTAGGAGGGTAACAGTAGACTCCTCAGTGAATGGCACATCACAAGGGTAATAAGAGTCAATTCCTTTCCTGCCCACCTTTTCTCTGTAGAAGAAAAGGCACATTCCTGCAGGAGCAGGGGAAGTGGTATTCCCAGGTACACTACTGATGGTGTGCCTGCATGAAGGTCCACAGCTTAAAGCCCAAGTCTTAGCATCAGAAGCTATCAGGAAACCTATTTTTCCCATGCCTCCTATATGACCTATAAAATGAAAATAAAACCTGTCTTCCGGACAGCATTCTAGAGATTTTTTATGATCTAAGAATAAAAAGAGCTATAGAAATGCAAAGCTTTATTTATTACTAATATTCAGCAGAGACTAATTCCCATATCGACACCTCTGGGCCTTAACAACTTGGCAAGGGCTCTTCTGACTCCCTCCAAGATTAAGCTCCTCATCTCTGTGAACATAAAATCAATCTGCTATGTAGCTTGAAGAGTCTTTGTCATTTGCCCCTAAAGAACCTAGCACCTCTCTTCAGAGGCCAAGAGAAAGCTTTAAAATCTTTTGTAGACTTCTTCTCAGCATGTTTTGCTAAAAATGACAAAATGTTCATTTGGAAGCATAGGCAGGCATATTCGGCTGGTTAGGTCCAAAAGAAATAACAGGAGCTGGGATAAACGAAGTGTTACTGGAAATCTGGGCCATTTGTGGACTCCTAGAACAACTCGCCTCTAGAAGCTAGCTATAAATATCCTTAGAAATAATTTCCCTTCAAAAGCCTTGGGAAAACATGCCAACTGGATTTTTACAAATGAAACGTTTACTTTGGTAAAAGAAAACCTGCAAAGGCTAGGGTAGGTCCGCGTAGGTTAGTATGTGGGGTGACACTGCCACCTGGCGGCTGGCATGCACTACAGCACAAGGAGCTCAGCAACAGGGAAACCACACTCCCCGTGTTCAAAGAATAACCAGAGCTATTAATAAAAAAGAAACCAAGTTTCCAGAACAGTCCTTCCTACTGAGAGGCTACTTCTTGTAGAATTGGCCCCATGCCTGCAAGGACAAAATAATTTAAGCTTGGAATTTACTGTGTGATATGAGCAAAAGACTTCTATCTGCTCGATTCTTAGTACAAGGTGTAACCAAAAGATGTGATTAAAAAAGAGCTTGACTGAAAAAAATTCTGAAATGTTTTAATTCATATCGTACATACTTTTAAAAAAGGCGGAAACATTTAGGGTAACACCACTGATGTGAAAGAATCTTGAGCCACAGGACCTTGAAAATCAGGCTGAAAATGTTTTGCTTTCACATTGTCTTTTTCATGGCTGCTTGTGTCATGCTGAAGAGATAAGCTTCGTAGATTATATTCAAGAAGTTGTCATCGTTCTGGAAAACAAAATCAAAAGACCCAAGGGAATGTGATTTGGCTGGCAGGAACCAAAGGCTTCCTCTGTCTTGGAGCTAAACTGGCATTCTGACACTCAGACGCTCCTCTCTGCCTGTCTGCTCCAACGGCTGGTGGTTTTTCACTGCACACGAGAGTGTTAAGTGGGACTGGAGGCCTGACCGAGTCAGCTGCTGGTGTCCAACAGTCATATGAGAAGTAGCAAGTGCTCATTACCTACAGCACGGATGGGCAGCCCAGCCACATGGCAGTATGGGATGAGGGTCACTCAAAAAAAGCCCGGGTCTGTTTCAGGAAAAGATACAGGTCCTAACAGAAGGCTGGAGTGGGAGGCAATGATCCAGCTCAGTGGTCTCTTTCGTTAGGAGATAGCTGGGGCTTCTTAAAGGTTCTCCAAGTCTCCCACAATATATACACTTTATTTCAACATTAGTTAAGATTTACTTGCAACATGCTTCATTTATATCATCGAAACTAGCATAATTCTCCCATTAATTATGGAAAGTTTTTGGTCTGGGTGAGTGGGCAGCAGTTAGACTGGCAGTCTCTGGGCTCTACTGCCTGGCTAGGACTGAGGGAGAATCACGGGTCTAATCAGTGGTGCTCTTTGTTTTTAATTCTAGAGACTTCTCCCTCCCACTCAAATCCTTTAAAGCTTTAGCAATTCACCCACATTTCACATTCCCCCTTCATTCCCTCTTGGCACCCCACGCACATAGTGTTATTCTCATGCAATGAAAGAGTGATTTCTCCCTGTTTTTCCTACAAAATAGCCACAAAGTCCCTGTGCGTGAGACTGTGTCCTACCAACAGGCGAAGACTAAAAACAGTCTGCATGAGTGACTTCCAAGAGTCCATCAGGAAGATGATGTCTACATGGGGAAAAGTAAAGTGTATGCAGAGAGTGGACGGATCATAATTTTCTACCTAGCAACGTACCGGGCCTGCTCTAGACTTTTGCTGGAGTCTTGGCTCCTGTACAAAGATCTTTGGAACAATATTTTTTTAAATGGAATGAACCAGAAAAAAATGTGAAACTTCTCAATTTAAGTTTTTTTTTTATTTATTGCACATAAAAAAGAAGTTTATAGATGTCCTAAGTCCTCATGAACTTATGAGTGGCTTGAAAAGGTGGGAAATATTTTACCCTGATATTTGTTTATGGATTATATGGATCAGCAACTCATTTGTTGCTGATCTTTAGTGGGCTGCTATTCTGCTTTCACACTTGGACACTGATTGCTAGCCCTCTCTCCTTCCCTTCCCTCCAAAATACGTGACCTTTAAAAAATGTTTTTAATAACAGAGACCACAGGCTTTTTAACTAGGACGGAACATCTGTGGAGTGCTAGCCAGCTCTCTGAAAGTCTGCCAAAGCTTAAGTAAAGTACCACAAAAATTTTCTTAAAGACTATATCAAAGATACCTAACTATGTTAACTGAGGTGTTTGAAGTCTGTCTGGATAAAAGTGTTCCACTTTTCAAGGCCTAGCATATATTTTTGGGGTATGCTTCACCTGGTAGACTGCTGAACGGCCTCCGGAGGCCCATCCCTTGCAGTCCCATTACTACCATGGCCCCAGCCCAGTGCAGCAGGAAGGAGCACTCTGTAGCCAGACTGCGGTTGAATCCTAGCTCTGCTATTTCCTAGCTGTGGCCTCAGGCCAGTCACTTAGCCTCAGTTTCCTTGTCTCTAAAATAGAAAAGCTAATAGGGTTGTTGTAGAAGGATTAAATGAATTAATATATGTGAAGCATTTAAGACAGCGCCCGGCACAGAGCTCTCTACATGTGGCCACTGTTATGTTGTTACCTCACGAGCCAAGTGAGACAAATGGCTGACAAAGAAGTCCCCTCCTTCTATCCTGTCCTATCAGTAGGTTTCAAAATTATTTGTAAAATATGCCCTTAGTAGTCACAGCCATTACTTGCTTCCCTACCTTTTTCCTCCTTCTTCAACAGTCCTTGTGAACCTTCCCCTAAATGCTGCCACTTACTCAAGATGGCTCTCACCTCCATTTCCCCATGGTGAGCTTTCTGGGCACCAGCCAGCACCTACAATCCTCCCAGTGGCTGCTTAATTATACAGTATACGTTTCTTTCTTTTCTGGCAGGTGACAGCTTGGAGGACTTAGTCAATACTACAAAATCCTTGATGGTCTGAGACACCCAAAGTCCACAGCCAGTATTTTGAATCTCACCCAGCTAACTGAGCATGGATGCCGTTGAGGTTTAGGTTGAATTGTTACATGGTCCTTTTATTCTTGGGGAGTACTAAGTAGGCATTAGCTAACTGAGTCTTTATCTCAAAGTGGCAACCAACAGGTCAGCAGGGAAAGGGAAGAAGAGAGACGACGTGACTCTCCTACCTGAATGAGGTACAGCAGTGCTTCCTGAAGCTGGAGCTTGGTAAGTGGGCTGCTGGTGACTGCAGGGGGTTCTGGGGTCTGCAGAGGCAGGAGGAGGCTGGTGGAAGTGGCAGCTGGTTCTTGGCTTCCCAGAGGCAGGAGCCCACTGTCCCTCTCCTTTGGTGGGGCACAGGTGGGTTGTGTGAACACCATAGGGGACATGAGCAGAGAAGGAGCCACTGTAGCAAGGACGCGCGGAGGTGAGATGGCCTGCTCACAGCAAATACACACAGAGGGCAGGAGTAAGTAGCAACTCATTGAAAAGAAAGGTAGACAGATAAAGAGGCCCCTCGCTGGCAAGAATGGATATAAATGAGTTTCAGTATTAATTGCTCACAACTCCACTAGGTGGAGGAGCCTGTAGGAGACTGACTCCTGCTCAGTTGTCTCCATATTTTCCTTTGTCATCACTAAGCTGCTCTGGCAGTCTGCCACTGTGAATATTGTTCCCACTGCATATAAAGCTCATCCTCTGAGTAATATTTTCTGCAGTTTACCACCATCACTTTGCAGCATGCATTTAGGACTGCTGGTCTCTTCCTCAGGGCTAACTGGCCACTACTCTGACCTAAAGGTCCAGCGACCCACGTGAGTTGTTACACTTGCTGGGGGCACACACACATTTCCGCTCCTGATTTCTCTACGTGGAGGAACCTTCCCGGCCTCTCTCCACCTGCTCATGATTTCTCATTAGGAGGGAGACATGCTTATTAGGTTCACCCCTCCTAGTCCCTCCCTGATAGGATCTGCCAGCTCACGGAGAGCATCCAGCTCAAGTATGGGGGCAGGAAGGGCCAGTGGTGCTCAGCACTGCCAGTGACTTATCTGTCCAAGACAGTATGTCTACCTCACTTGGCTAAACACCTAAAACCAAGTTTTCCAACAACTTTTCCAGTTATGCAAGTGACATTTTATCCCTGTCTGATGGACTCCTACAGCTAGCTCTCATTTGTTTCTAAGGCAGGTGAGAAAAAATGCCCCAAAAGAACTCACGAGAAGGGGGCATAAAGGCTGATAGTCTAGAAGCTGCTGTGACTTTTATATATCTTATAAAAAGATACTCCCTCGGTATCTTTTTGGGCAGAAAGAAGCCTGGAGGAAGGCAGGTTGTTTGTTTTCTTTAACTATCCCTATCTGCCATCGCGAGGAGAGGAGCTAGAACAGATGCCACCCACAGTGCGGGTCCCGGCACCCTTAAGGAGAATGCAGTGCAGGCTGACGGATGCACACTGTCGTGATCAGCTCTCCACACACGTGGGCACTGAAGAGAAATGAGAATTGTGCCCACTTAAGTTGATGTCAAACTATTAACCCCAACTTTTCTAGCGTCCCATCTAAACCACCAAGAGAAGCAGGTATCAAAGAAAGGGACACTATCGCACTGAGATGAGGAGGGGGGTGGGTAACAATCGTTTCTTTGAGATTGTCATAAATAATCAACAACACTTTGACTCAGGCTCTCATGTATACAAAGACTTACGCTATGTGACTGTGATCTTTGTTTTCAAAAAGGTGAAGGACTTTTGAGGAACCGTTGTAAGCTACGGTCCTGTAAGCAGGACAAAAAGACCAATGCTGACATCTGTTAATGAACAGAGAGAATGTCCTAACTTTTTTATTTTTTTTAATTTTCTTTTTTAAAGTTTATTTATTTTTGAGAGAAGGAGACAGAGCACGAGTGGGGGAGAGGCAGAGAGAGAGAGGGAGACACAGAATCTGAAGCAGGCTGCAGGCTCTGAGCTGTCAGCACAGAGCCCGATGTGGGGCTTGAACTCACAAACTGTGAGATCATGACCTGAGCCGAAAGTCGGATGCCGAACTGACTGAGCCACCCAGGAACGCCAAGAAATGTCCTAACTTTTAAACCCAATGCCTTTTCACTGAATTTGTACCAATCCAAATGGGAAAAAAAAAAAAAATCAGAGGTCTCCAGATGTTACTCATAGGTGATGAAACAGCTGTGGTTTTCTCACCGCTCCAAGTTACTGATAAACTTAGAACTGCCTTTCTCAAAGGACAGAGTATTTCTGAAAGTATTTCTTCCTGTCTGGCACTTTGTGTGTGTGTGTGTGTGTGTGTGTGTGTGTGTGTGTGTGTGTGGAGTTAGATGGCATACTCACTCCTCTCTCAATCTTCATTAAGCTATACCAGCGATAGAAATAAAACCAGCCTGCACCTCTGAAGTGGTGAGTCTGCATGCCTTATCACTCGTCACACACCTGCAGGTATGTACCCACAGGAAGCACGGTGCCCGGCACGTAGTAAGTGCTCAGAGGTATTTAGTGAATCCATGGATAAACAGTAATGATTTTAAAATAATCAGAAAAGGTCGAATGCTTGGCATCTCACAGTATTTCAGAGCAGACACTAAGTATCCATGGTCAAAGATTAGGGGGTTCTCTGCACGTCCGTGTTGTTTCCCGTGTTCACGTGCTTGTGTCAGGCCTTATGACACTGTGAAGATTTAACTGTACAAATAAAGTATCTCTAAAAGGCAGGAAGCCCCCAGATGGCTAAGCAAAGAAAGGATGCTCTCTCCAGGCAGAAAGTTATGGTGATAATCAGATGCACAGATACGGCGCTCGGCGCCCTGCTCTGCACAGAAATGTCCCTAGAGCACAGAGGCTGATGCCAAGCTTCACTGCAGTGCAGCAACACCGCCCCCACGCCCCCACCCCTGTAGACACGCACCTGAAAAAGAGGAGTCTGCTTTTCTGTGCTGGGTGTCTTGTCTATCCAGGACTCCAAGGTCTTCCCTGTCCTAGAGCTCTGGGTTACCACGGGGAACTTCGCTGCCAAAGCCGGCCGGTTAGATGCGTGCAACTGCTGCTCCTGCTGTACAATCTGAAGCTTTTTCAGTAACTCTTGAGGGGAGATCACTCCAGAGCTGCTCATCGGATTGCCAGAGAGGGGGAGTGTCGGTCTTGGGTGTGTTGACTGCTCTTTTCCGTGAGCCTGATGTCCTGGTGTCTGAGGTGGAAGGGAGCCATTGAAATACCCCACCTGTGCCTGCACCAGTCCCCTTACTGGAGCACCGGGGGTGGCAGCAGGGAGAGTGGTGCTGAGGTTTGGGGCAGCTGAGCCAGCAGGTGCTGGTATACTAGGCTCATACTTGTTCGCTGACCTTGGGGTGCTCTGAAGCTTCTCCAACAGGTTCTGAGTTCTGGAAGCACTCTGTACATGACAGGAAGTCCCAATGCTACGGGGAGACCCTGGCTGGACAGGTCCCAGAAAAACCTCCCCAGCAGAACAAGTATTGCCATTTTTGCAGGGCCGGTTTTCAGGCAGCTCTGACAATGGATGGAGGTCTGTACTCCTGACCATGAGTTTCTGAATGGCCGGACAGAGCTGTTTCTCGAGGGGGGGTGAGTGTCTTCTGGGTTCCTCATAGGAGAGAGAGCGTACAACCCCCTGCCTGACCGGAAGTTTCTCCTGCTGCTGCTGCTGCTGCTGGTGGCGGATGGTCTGTGGGGACCCCACAGTTTCTTGACATGTAGATTTGTCCTGCTTCCCAAAGAGAGCTGTCAAGGACAAGTGTTGTGGTTCAGGGTCTAAGGTCTGGAAAAAATAAAAATGTCTGAAAATGGTTCTCTAGACAATTTGGTTATATATGGGGGCTATGAAACATAACTAACCTCACTGATGATTTATTCTATTTACATAGGATCAATTAGAAGGGATGAAAAAACTATAATTATAGTAAATTTTACAAATTTAAGACCTCCTTTTAAGGTCAAAAATTTTCAGTATTCTTCTCTACCACCCCTGAGATAATGGTCATATTCTAGCATCTGTTGATAAAATAGGTCCTTGATGGGCTTGGGGTTCACAGACAGGGGACCAGTATGGTACAAACTTATATATACTAAAAGGGAAATAATCTCTTCAACAGGAAGTCCGCCTAACCCTGCAGAGCACAAGAAGATGCTAAGAATGCACAGGAATATGAGGATTTTTGTAGAATTATAAATTTAGGACTGGAAAGAAATCTAAGTCATCTAATCTAACTTGACCCTTTCAACTATATACCAGTAGCTTTAAAACAATCATCATGTGCATACATACTATGTGCCCTGGCCCGATCAGTCACAAAGCTACCTCCTTCCTGCTCTGTATCACTTCCTGCTCCTTCTGCTGCTTCCTGTGTTGTTGGACTAAGAAAACATGAGCTTCATTCTAAAGTCAACATATTCCAGTTTTTCTATTAAAAAAAATTTCCATGGAAGGCAAACAAAAATAAAAGAAAGCTAAAACATAATTAGAAAAGACTTATTTTTAAAAAAAATCAACATGAGCCTTTCATTTAGCCAGTCTTTATGTCTTTTGGCTCTATATTCATTTTCAAAATTGATTTAAATGAATTCCTTAAAAACAAACAAACAAAAAATACCAAATCTTTAATGAGGAATAACCATAGGAAACAGAAATAGCCACGTCACATTTGTAATCAATAATGGGACTTCCAGATTAGCAATTTTGTTAATGCTGCACTATTCTGAAAAATATATGTACAAAATATGCCATCATACTTATATATTTAGATGCAAATGCCATGACAAATCATCAGGTCTACAGGGGAATTGTATGCCCCTCCTCAGAAAAGGAATCCATTTCTGTACACTCAGTGCCCAGCGCCACACCCAGTATGGTGGAAGTGCTCAGAAATGTTTAACTGACTTGTTGCCTTGGTGTCCTTCCCTCAGTAGCCTTGGGAAGCCAACCACCTACCTCAGAAGAACACGGACCTGCCAGGTAGTATTCCTGTCAGCTCTGACAATGTTACGAGTTTGCTGTTTTTTAAAAAATATATTATCTAAGGAGTTCAAGTCCACAAGAGATGAGCACAGATTATGGTAAATGCCAAAATTAAAAATTTCAACCTGCTTCTAGGAAGAATACATTAATAGTAATTTTTTTAAAATCTTGAATTTGAAATCTCTCTTTCTTGGGTTTACCTTGAAGCACCCTTGAATAGTACCAGGCTCTCCCTTGACTATACTCTGGGTCAAAGTTCTTTAAGAATTCTAGGGAGACATGGCAAATGAAAAGCACAGGACTTGTACCTGGCTGGGCCGAGGTATGCGCTGTTGCTGGTTTTCACTAGGCTTCACTGGAATTGGTTTGATGAGATTGGGGTTGTCATAGATAGCAGATGAACTGGTTATCTGTTTTGGCTCAGAACAGGTTTTACACTGAAATGGAAAAAAGAACCTTATTTTTGGTGAAAAAGAAGCTTTAATCTTTTTAAAAGTACATAACTTGTTGCTCTTTATTTTATCTAATTGGTAGCTATTTTTTGATAAATTTTTGTGCAAAAAGGAAAATTACTTTATCTCCTCTGATATGAGCTATATTTGAGTATAAGTCAAATTCCAATTTAATTTTTCTTTGTTGTACTATTTCAATGCCCTAAAAATATTACCAACAGTGTCAGTCTGCAAGACCCAGAGACTCTGAGATACCTAGATGCTTGAAATGTTATGGATATGCTTAAGAAGCAATAGTTTAAAGATACAGAGTCTAGGAGCACCTGGGTAGCTCAGTTGGTTGAGCATCGGGCTCTTGATTTCAGCTCAGGTCATGATCTCACCATTGTGAGACTGAGCCCCAAGTCACGTTTTGCACGGAGTATGGAGCCTGCTTAAGATTCCCACCGCCCTTCCCCCCCTCCCCCCTGCCCCTCCCCCACTCATGCAAGTATGTGGACACACTCACTTGCTCTCTGTCAAAAGAAATGGAGAGAGTATCACTTACTTAACCATACGCTTATTGTTGTTTGTTTACATTATTTCACACTTTTCAACATGGTATAATAAAGATTTTTACTTGTGGAAAAAAAAGAAATGGAGAGTCTAATGCTTTTCAATGAAAACAGTGATAGAAACAATGATTTATTATTTTAAAATTTTTAAATGTTTATTTATTTTTGAGTGAGAGAGAGAGAGAAAGAGACAGAGTGTGAGCCAGAGAGGGGCAGAGACAGAGGGAGACACAGAATCCCAAGCAGGCTACAGGCTCTGCACTGGGAGCACAGAGCCCTATGCGGGGCTTGAACCCACAAACTGTGAGATCATGACCTGAGCTGAAGTCAGACGCTTAACTGACTGAGCCACCCAGGTGCCCCAGAAACAATTCTTTAAATGCCATGTCTGGATAACTGTATGGTTTATTCACCCATTAGCAGTTGACTTAAAACTGGGGAGTTGCATTATCAAAGTAACTAACCTTTTCGGTCTACAAACCAAAAAGTAAAGCTGATTCAAACCACTGATTTAAAAACTACTAACATCATCTTTATTTAATAAATGACGTTTTACATAAACAGAATAATTCAAATCTGAGTGTTCTGAGCCACTCACTACAAATTAGAATTTCACAGAGAAAGAGACAAGAGACAAGACTCATCATTTCAAATACTGAATCATTATCATACATTAATCTAACCAACCATGCAATTGCTAACACAGTAGGATTTATAACACCAAGAATACAGCAATGATGTCAGTATCTACCTTGTTGAAACACCAAATAAAACTGAATATAAAACCACTACCTTCTATTCTATATTCTCCATAGCATTGCTAGTTTCAACTGTCAAGGCCTCAGGCCAGAAAATATCTCACACTGTCCCTGACATGGAATGAGCTATAAAGACACTCTTGTCCCTCAAGAATCTAAGGTGTTTTACAGTTATTGGGTTGTATTTTCTAATTCAAGGATGTAAGAGTATGGGGTCAATTACCACCATGTTCACTTGGGTTTGTAAAGTTAATTGTACATAGGACTTATTTTCTTCCAAGAATCCTATCAATAATTTGGGTATTTGGCACTAGATTGATTGGGAGGTGAAATCCCTTTGAGTCAAAAAATGTTATTTCTAATTCTTAGGTGAATGCTGGTGGCTGCATGGACCAAGTGGCCTGGCTTTCCAAGGCAATAACCAACACAAGACAAGAATACAGCCTGAGATAGAGTCACTTACAAAATGTTAGCATGGAAGCCTAGAACTTCTGCTTGCTATGTAAAAGAAAGAGGACACTCAGATTACTTTCAATGAATGACCGTGTCTGTACTTTTTCATCCTCTCTGTTCAGGGACCTTGAATTCAAGCAAAGAAAAACAGATTCCCCCCCCACCTTTGCTATACACATATCTGCATGGGCCAAGAAGCTGCTGTTTCTTGCTATGCATAAGCCCCAGATAGCCTTTCTAAGTAAAACTGCTATAAGCTGTCTTCTGTGTCACTATCTAGCCATCACTGAAGCCTTGCTTTCATGTAAAAATTGTTCTTTATCAAATTGCTCAGAATTAAACATCATCTGCCTCAATAGTTCGTAGCTCATTTTCCAGCTGTTTAATTTTCTATGCTTCTCTCGACCCAAATAACTCTATGATACTTGGAAAAAAACACAGAGCTGGAAAAAGTGCATAATGGATTCTCCATAGAGATCCTGAGGCACTTCTTTAAAGCCTTAAAAACTATGTCACATGATCTCATTTTCTCACACACAAACACACAAACATACGTACCCATGCCAAGAGAAAAGCCTGGAAGAAAATATACTGAAAGTGTTAAAAGTAGACATCTTGGGGTTATAGGATTATGGACATTTTTTATTTCCCTTTTCTACTTTTTTGACTTTCCTCATTGAACATCAAATGACACTTAGTAATTTCTTAAATTTTATAAATAAATCACAGTATATTAAAAGAGACTTATTAATTCTTGCCTTAAACCACAAAACACAACATAGTCCATTTCTGCACACTCAGAACTTAACTATGCAGCCAAGGATCCTTTCTGGCCCTGGTTCTTTTTCTTACTGAGCGTTGGTGGTTTTACTGTATTGCTCATTTGCATATCAGCTAGAAGTCTAATAGGAGGTAAAAAGAGATGAAGCTCAAATTAACATCATGCTACTTTACAGCAGATTCACAGAAAGTTTTGCTTAGGGGAAAAAATATAAAATATTGGCCAAAATAAGGTTTTTAAATTATTTTATTAACTTCATGTAAGTAGTTGCATCTGATGTCAGTAGGCTTCACTTTACCAACATCATGTACCTCTAGCTCAAAAGTTTTCCTCCTCTTAATTTTTGGGATTTTCAAGAATTGAGTAATTTTGAAGTTGGGAAGCATCCCAGAAATCACTGAGTTTAATCCCTACCCAGAGAAGTGAGATTCTTTTCTAGTATCCTGGTATGTCATCATGTGGTTTCTTCCTGAATACTCCTGGTGATGGGAGAGGCACTTCCTCACACGAGAAGTCCGAGGGAGATCTTGTTTTCTTTCTCTTTTGCCTCTTTCTGTGTTCCCCCTTTCCTGTACCTCACAGCCATTTTACTCATGATCTCCACATGTTCTGAAATGTCTGTGTGTGGGAGAGGAGGTAACACAAACACAGGCAAATATAAAGCAGATTTACACAATGCAACGGAAGTTCACAGAGGAGCATATACATCAGGTTGCGTAGATCAGAAATAACAGGATGGACAAAGACCATTTGAAATGGGCCGTGAAGGGCTAATCATACGTTGGCAGGTAAAGAAGGAGAGGGGACAGCATGGGAAGAAGGCATGAAGACACTTGCAGGAAGTGACACTGTTACTCTGGTAGGAGTTTCAAATATTTGTGGGGGGTGGTGGAGTAGAAGGTAGTGAGATTAGAAGAATAAACTGGGGCTATGTTATGTAATCCTTGGAGAGTCCAAAGGTTCATATACTAGGCAACGAGAAACCAGGAAGAATTTAGACCAGAGAAGTAATGTGATGATTCAGGTGCTCCTGGGTTACATCATTGGCTGTTAATGACAGAAGGAATAATTTGTTCTGCTTATCACACAGTTGGAGCAATTAACATTATGCATATAACATGTATTTGGGTTTAGAGAAAAGCAAGTCTATACGCTGATTAAATATCTGCACCTCATGTCAACACTATAACAACCAATATGGGGGGCATAATGATGAATAGAACACTGTTTTGACCTCAACAAGTTTATTATTTTTATTTTTTATTTTTTTAATGTTTTTTTCAATTTATTCTTGAGAGAGAGAGAGAGAGAGAGAGAGAGAGAGAGAGAGACCATGAGTGGGGGAGGGGTAGAGCAAGAGAGGGACACAGAATCCGAAGCGGGCTCCAGGCTCTCAGCTGTCAGCACAGAGACCAACGTGGGGCTCGAACTCACAATCCATGAGATCATGACCTGAGCCGAAGTCGGATGCTCAACCGACTGAGCCACCCAGGCGCCCGTGACCTCAACAAGTTTATAGTGGTAGAAGTTGAAGGTAACAGACTGTTAAAGGTAACAGACGAGGAAGAACAAAATAAGTTCTAAATAGTAACAGACTGCTGAGTTCAGTAGAAAGAATAATTAATTTGAATGAAGAGATATGGGAAAATTCCATGTAAAAGTGGAATTTTAACTGGGCTTTGAAGGATATGTAGATTCTGAAGGGCAAACGAAGTGAGGGGAAACACTGCAAGTTGTAGGTACGGTATAAAGTGATAGCCTACATGACATCTCCAAAACCACGTATGAGTGTTTCTGTGTGTGTGTTCTGTGTCCTTTGATGAGACAGTCAGGTGCAGCTATAAGAGGAGACACTGGAGAGGCTCAGGAAACAAAATTACACTCAAAGGTCCTAGAAACAGGAGGCACAGGACGCCCCGCAGGGCCACACGGGGCAGCCTCAGGGTGGGCAGGGAGCAGAAAGCGGGAGCAAAGGGAAAGCGAAGACTAGAGCCTCTGCTGGGGTTTCTGCACTTTAGGACTGGCTAGTATGGATAACTGCAGTATGTTCTACACTACAGGGTGGTCCCTAGTAGCCTAACCTGGCTCTGAAATGATTAAGGCAGAGGAATATTACCTCCTGGGGTGCTGGGGCCAGATCCAGGAGGGATGGCTCTAGACTGGTTAGTGTGCATGTCAAAGGCATCCTCTGACTGGGCCCTTTGCTAGTTCTAAGAATTGGCTAGCCCAAGGAGGAGAATTCTGTCCCCAACCAGAAGACTTTTAAGATGTCAAAACATCATAAAAGAAAAATAACACAGTATATGTGTTTGTGTATGTGAATGTGTGTATGTGTGTGTATGCATATGTGTGTGTGTATTGAGAGGAGGGAGGGAGAAGAAAGAAAATAATTTTTGTTCAATATTTGCATTCATTATTTATTGGCCATCGTTAAGCTGTCCTCACAGAACCTAAGTTCCCAGAGGGCAAAAATGTCACCTTTTAAGATTAATCTTTGGTGTGCCTAACATAGTGCAATTAGTGAAGTATAATGAGTTGACAGTTGCCAAGTCTTTAGGATATCTTTCAATGGCTGTTAAAGAATTAAGCAAAACACAAAACTAATACAGAAATAGTTGTTACTGACTGAATCTGGCATTTTAAAGCATCCTCTGTCCAGGCCCTCCAATCGAAGGATAACGAAACTGTGGTTAATTCAGATTCATATTCATTTGTATTCATTCCCTCAACAATCATTTATTTAGCACCTATGTGCTGGGAGCTGTGAAGGTTCTGAAGATAAATGAAGGATGTTCTTAGCACTCAAGTAGCTCACAGTCCAACAATCAAGAGAAGGTCAACCATCAAGTCAAAGGGATGCTAAAGAAATTCGGTCCGTTGTCCTTTACTATGTACCCTCCCCTCAGGATTTTTCTGAGCTTCCTTGTTGTGTCATTTGTTTTCTACCTGCTCTTTCCCCCTCTTCCCTTTCATTTTCTGTAAACTATAAAGTTTAAGAAAGCTCAAGACTTAGATTCAGGATCTAATGACATGTAAGAACATTTCGAAGTGGTACTACATGTTTCTGTTTCACATTATATCACATTAGGAGGCACGTGATGTCTGGTTATCTGACTTTTAAAGGCACTGATCAGTGCATTCAGATGGTGGCAGATTGATCCTTCCATGGTCAAGTTTCCATCAAACTTTCTCATAATATTAACATTACTAATGACAATTGCTTGAATCACTTATTTTACTATGGTGATTTTAAGTTCTATCACTTCATCTACATTTAATAGCTGGAATTCTTGGTTGAGAACTTTCCCTCCTAAACCACGATTATGAGGTTAGTCTGAAAATTGGTCCCTGCTGGGCAGGCAGGGTAAATGCTTAATTCCTTCCCATAAACTACCAATTATCAGAGGAACGACTTGGTGTCCTAATACCCCCAAGAATAGCCAACAATTATTTTTTGTTTTGTTTTATATTTTTAGTCTGCTTGCTCTCTCATCACCACGAACTCACAGATTATATATATGCAATGTGTTTCAATCCATTGTAGTCATTCTTGTTGATGTTAGAATTTGATGTTTTGGTTAGCGGTCCCTTCACGTTGACTTCTGTGCCCCTTTCACATAACTCTATTTGTTTGATTTTCCTATCCCAGACATGGGATATAGGAATTGGGAATTTCTTCAAAGAGCCCTGATACCTTTTAGGAGGGAACAGTATTTAGAAACAATAATCTTGGGGCCAGGGGTGCTTATTGCTACTGGGTTGTCACTTATCTCTAGGTCTCTTCAGGGTAGAAGTTAGTAACTACATATTTAAGAAACCAAATATGAACTAATTCTCACACTTTACTTAAAATTTAACATTATATGACTTTAACTTATTATTTTTCTCTTATATGAAAGGTTTTGTTCTGAGCACATAAACATGCTCATTTATTATATCCATGACAGCTAAAAAAATTACAATGCCAATGTTATTATTAACAATAAAACCACTGAATGAAGTTTACAATTTCTTTGCAGTTCTTTTTGTCCTTCAAATATAATGCTCTATGGGTCCTTATGTCCTTTAAATATAATGTACTAAGGGTCCAAATATGGGGCTCTGAAGTCACTTTAATTTCTTTTCTAAGTAATTATAATATGATATTCAGTTATGTACATTATTTCAGCTGGTTTCCAAATCCTAGGTTTTAATTATCCTTTTTCCCTAATTTTCTTTTTTTCCTATGTTTCTAGAGAGTGTCAATCTTTTAGTTCTCAATTTTTATAAGAGCAGTGTATAAAATAGGGAAATTAACCCTCTTCCTGTTGCTTAAATATAAATGTTTCTCAGTTTTATATATCTTTCCACTTTTTAAAACCAGGCAAAACATTTATTTTTTGATTTTTATATAGCTGAATTAATTGCTTTTGGGTTTTAAGATATAGTTAGGAAGATTTTCCCTTTCCAGATTACAAAGAAATCTATACAAATTTTCCTCTGGTACTTGAATGGTTTTTTTTTTTTTTTACATTTAAATTTCTAATAATTTGGAATTTATCCTGGTATAAGGGACAAATCCAATTTTGTATTTTTCCAAATGGCTACCATTTGTTCCCATTTCATTTATTTAAATATCCACTCAAACAGTTGATTTGAGATTTTCACCTTTATCTTCATCCTAAATGACATCCCAATGGGGGATCACTTTGGACTTTCTCACCTGTCCCATTGGTCTCTCTGGCTGTTTATGCATCGATACCATCAAGACCATAGTGTTTTATGTGCTTAGGTGTTAATGCCTTAATATTCACAGTTTGCTGCCCCTTCTCTCCCAATAGTGCCCTTCTTTGTCAGAGTTTCCGCTGCTTTTCTTCCTGTATATTTCTTGATGAACTTTACAATCAACATGTCTGGCTCCAGAAAAGAAGAAAATAAACTAGTCTTTATTTGTTTAGGAATCATCTAAAATTTACAGACTAAACAGAAGTGAAAGCTTTAAGTTTCATCTTCTTATCCAAGATCAGGACATATATTTCCATTTGGTCAAGTCTATTTTTATGCCTTCATACAGGTTTTGCCCTTTCCTTGTTACCTTTATTCCAAAGAATGTTATATTAATAGTTGCTACTGTAAATGGGGTCTTCTAGTAAACCTTCTGATTGGGTACTATTTGTATATATGAAGCCTGCTGATTTCTTAGGCTACCTTTTAATCCATTTAAAACAAACAGTCTTCTTTATCCTGCTGAAAGCAAATAAAGACTTAACTTGTCATACAATTTTGTTTGGTGGAAGGAATAGCACTAAGCCTTTCCCAACAAGCATATTACCACTGTAGGATTTAAGTATGTTTCACAAGGGAAGACAAAAACTCACCTTGGTGTATTCATCTTTGGCCTTGGTGAGCATTCGCAAGATATCTACTTCCTTGCCCTCTCCTGAATTGAGGATTATCGGAGAGTTTCCTGCTCCAGCTCCCTGATGGGCTTTCAACTGTTCATACTGAGTTAGGCTAGAAAAACAGAGGGGAGAATCCACAGAAGAAAAACGAACTCAACACAAATGGCTTTTAAAACCATCCAATTCTCACCCAGTTGTTTTTGTCTTGTTATAGTCATAGTAGAAGTAAGACTGCTTAGGAATTGAAAGAAGAAAAATAAGAGTGGAGGTCCTGAGTACAGTGAGTACATAAATGAATCCAGAGTAGGGGTGGGCAAACTATGTCCTGCAGGCCAAATCCGGCCCACCACCTGTTTTTGTAAAGCTACAAACAGACACACTGTTACTGTATCACTTAGCTGCCTCGCACAGTAACTGACGAGTTGAGCAGATGTGACAGATAACTATGGCTTTACAAAGCCTAAAATACTTGTTTTTTTGTTTTGTTTTGTTTTGTTTTTCAGAAAAAGTTTGCTGACTCCTCACTTAGAGCATTTGACAGGACTCATTAATTGCTGAGGAAACCCAATTTAGAGTTCTCAAACACTGAGCAAACGGCATGGCATATCGAGATTTCCACCCCCCCACGCCTTGTTTCAATATGCCTTGAAGTCAAAGCAAAATTGATTCCAGCAACTCAAATCCTCTAGTCCTCTGGCAGTTTATGAACTGTGAAGATTCCACTCTAGAAGAGGGGCATTACAACAAACAAACAAACAAACAAACAAATGGAGCAATGTAGAGTGTCTTCTGTTTTCCTGAAAACAATACAGAAGGGAGACCAGATTGCTCCTATGTGGTGCTAGGTGACACTGAGAAAAATACTTTTCCTTTTGTGTGCTTTGACTTTCAGCTCAAATTTTTATAACTGCCATGTCATTTATGGTAAAAGAGATCTGAGAATTTACTGGGAGATTTAATTCTAACTGAGGAAGGGCTCAGAATCCACACATATCAGCTGCTTATTGCTAGTCAACAATCAATTTCCTGCCCCAGCTGTTAAGTAATTACTGCAGAATGCTAACAATTTTAACATGGCCTCTTGGCTGAGCCACAGGGTATTTTTTAATCTATATAAAATCCTGCTATTATTATCCATTGCACAGTTTACAATAACATGAATGTGTTAGGAACTAGTTGTTATGGTGGTAAATACCAGTTTGAGCACACTTAATCACCATCTGCAACTTGAGCTGGTTACCTACAATTAGCTATCACAAGCTAGATTTTCAGAAATCTATTTATAAAAAAGTGTTCCCCACATTTCGTTTTGGGGGGTCACTTTTAAGTCATTTCCTTGCCTCAGGATTTAAAATTGGAAAATGGTTCTTTTACAGATGGAGATGCTTTGTCAAATCCATGCGGGCAGCAGCCATACTGTGTGTTTGGCGAAGTCCAGTCACTGGCTGCGATACGGCATGTGTAGGAAATTTAGTTCATTCTGAGGCTTTAAACCATCCCCATAAAGCAAGGGAAAGAACTGCCTCCCAGTGAGCAGCGTCGGGGCTCAAGAACCAATCACAGAATAGACAGCATGCTTACCTGGGCCTTCCTTTCAATGCAGTCAGGGGAGCCAAGAGTGGGAGTCAGACAGTGATTTAAATTTCCCAAAATGCAGATGGGACAAACCACAATGTATCAAGAGATTAAAAGAAAAAGAGACTAGCTACAAAAAAAAAAAAAAAAAAAAAAAAAAGACTGTTTACTGATCACTAAACTAATATTAACCCAGATATTTCCAACAAGATTGAAAATAAAGTCTACGTACTCAACAGCATTTAAGATGTGAGGAAATTCTGACCTCCCATAACCATGGGTATGCAGTTAAAGGAAAGCGTTTAGGGCAGGAAGGAAATGGAAGATCTTAGAGGATGTGTAGTGGCCTTTAAAATGGCTCAGAGTGTTCTTTTTACTGACAGCTATACTGATAGCTTTTCAAAGAAAAAAACTGCTAATTTGCAAATGAGTAAAATATTGAAGAAAACTGCCATCTGGAACAATTCATATCATCGATATTTCACACATGCAAAAAAAAAAAATGAGGTGAACTGTTCTACCTACTGAGGAATCTTATCTAGTGAAAATGTAAAAATATGTCTGTTTTTCATCTAAGTAATAGTACATGTTTTCCTAACCACTGTGGAAAGGATTGCTGTGAGAGAGATATTCTGTTAAGAGTATAGTGTAGTCATACTGGGAAACACAAACAAAAGCATCATGTCCTGAAAAATACTTAGCCTTTCAGCACCTACTTTTTCATAAGCTCTGCAATTCTTTGGCATTCTTCCTTATCATAAAACCAAATTCCATAAATGGACACTGCAAAAAACACATCAAACAAATTATGAGCACCTTCAAAACTACAAAAGGGAAAGAAATTCTCTTTCCATCTTGAAGAAAATACACACTTACAAATAAATGAAACCAATCACTGGAGTTTAAGCTTGAAAACCTAGTGCTGGAATTTTCTAAGCCCACAGAGAAATCTGTAGTGGTCTTATGCGTGCGCAGATACATATACATACCCCCAATAGAGTATGTTGCCCTTAACAATATAGTACCTGAACATAATGGGCATCTGGCAAATGCTTCTTAAATGAATGAATACAGGCTGAAGACTAAACTCCTGGCTTTGAAGCATCATTGTTTCTAGACTCCATCTGCACATTTATATATGTATTTCATCTTTAAGTATTCAGAAACCTGATGCACAAATTAGGCCTAGAAATCTCTCTCCTTCTCTCAGGAATATGTTAACTGAAAAACTGGCTTTGTAAGCTGTAAATTAAGAAAGAGTACAGAAAAAAATAAAATTCAATAACAAATCTCTGCCTTCAGAATGTACAGAATACTTACAACTGTTGAAAGATGAGATGTGACTATGTCTTAATCATTTAGGAATGAAAGAAAAATGTAGTAAGTTGTAGCTGCTATGGATTCATCTAACAATTTTCAAATAAACTGTACACCTTAGTATGTGCCCATTTACATCATTTTTATAGCAAAGGCTAAACAGTTCCAAAGTACATTTATAAAGATCTAGTTAAGGATTTGGTGGTATTTTAATCATATAAATAATACATTAACTACAGATACATTTAAATAATCTTCATTGAAAATAGCAGCAATGTTACGATAGAGCAATGAAAAATAACAATATATTTTTTTAAAGGAAAAACTTTAAAATTTAAACGTTCAAAACATTTAATTATATACATATTATTTGGTCATTAAAACAGCTGATATTTTAACAACTTCTTTTCCCCACCCATCTGACCAGTGCCTCGGTGTGGGATTTCTGCTTCTTGTCAGTAATGATTCAGATACAAAGCTTCAGGAAATGTCTCTTTAGTGCTATTTTAAACAGATATATTTTTTAAAAGGAACCCTATAAATCTGAATTACTGACTCGCCATAAGGTGGCAATGAGGTTTTAAACTTTTTATATGATTAGTGTGCCAGGAATCTTTATCTTACCTACATGTGAAGAGGAAAAAAAAAAAAAAATGGAAAAACCCTCCAGCATTTTCCTGAACAGGACCATTTTATCCTCCTAGAAATACATACACATATTTCTCTTTAGTACATTGATAATCTTTTGAAAAAAGAACATCTGAATTCTGAAGCTTATGTGCTGAGAGAGCCTCAATACTGAAAAGAAATTCTTTCATCTCAAGATCATTAAATGTGTATCTTAAAGCTTTTCACTCAAGGTTCTTTGCAAATCCATCCACACTAATGTCCTATTCTGATTGCCTACACAGATTCCTATACACTCACCCAGTGAGCCTTGTGTCCTTGTACGCAAAAGTGCATTAGGTCACTGACATTCAACGACAATAAATCTGAATACATTTGTGTGTTGTGACAGTTTTAACTGTAGTTATAAAACTAGGAGCCTGGTCTATTTTTTGATTACAGTGAAACCTTCCTTTTCTTGGAGACTGGGTTTCCCAAAACTATCAAAAGAGAAAGGTGGTAGCAGGGCAGAAAAACAGCACAACTAAGAAACTCCAGGCCCAACGGCAGAGGAAAACGAGCCATTTGTGTCTCATCTGTAGAATGTATTAGTAGAAATGTTTTGAGTGTCATTTTTTTTGTTTGATGTTACACATTTGTGGCATTTGACATAAGGATTAGGTTTTCATAAGAGTTAGATGCCAAGGAAACTGTTGATACAAACAGAAAAGCAGTCTGACAATGTCATTACCATGAGGTAACTGAAATGTAGATTTAGGAAGGAAAAATGCTATGAAAACATCTTTCAGATGCCAAAGCAGAATGAAGGGAAGATCAGGTCTGTAATGACTATTTAAGACATGGTGGAGGTTTCTTTAGGACCTGACCATTTATCTCTAAAACAACGGGACTTCAAAATTAAAATGGGATCATTTTGAAATAGCACTTTTCATCCCAGTTAATACTTAGTTTGAACATAAAATTTAACTAGTCGGTGGAGAAAAAAACAGACTGCCTAACAGTCTTGGCTACTGAAGGGTAACACTGAGATAAAATGTAGAACTGGACCTAAGTTTTTTTCTCCTTAAAATAGTTTCGCAACTTGAGTTGCATTCCACCAGGAAAGGGCCAACAGTTACATGAACGTGCACATTCCAACTGAAGTTTTCTGCCTCTTAGGCCCAAGGTCTCCCAACCCCTGGACAAAACTATCGCTCTTCCACACAAGAGGCTATATCAAAGCAGCTCGTGCTGATATATAAAAACCAGAGATCAACATGCCTCAGGGAGGTGATGAGCTGACAGGCTGACAGAAACCATTAACTTCACATTTCAATCCCAGTTTTCTTGTACAGCCACTGGGGGAGAGGCCCATCCTTATGTAGGCAGTGAGTACAGCAGGCAAGACAGAAAAAAATAGGTTGAAAAGAACCAAAAAAGAAGGTGTGGTTTCTCAAATTCTAACACTTAAAAAGGAATCACCGGGACCTAAATTTGCGAGGTGATACAGCGGTGTAAACTTGTAGAACAATGAAATGGGAATGACTTCTGGGCTTTAAGAAATTACAAGGAGAAAAGCTCATGAGGAGATTTGTTTTAAAAAACTGACCTATTAGTCCACATCTGGACATCCACCATGCTTCGAGCCTTTGTTCAGCCTGCTGCACCTGCATACCAGCCGCTTCCCAGGCACCCTTCTGCCGAGTCAGAGGTGAAGTTTAAGGGCACTTTGGTGCATGAAGCTCAACTCAACTGTTTCTACATCCCTCCTGGAGGTAAGTAACCCAAAAGTGGAGTAAAGGCTAGAAAGAACACGTTGAAGTTTACTGTAAAATATTCTAATGACATCTAGAATGTGTGATGTAACGACTCATCTTTTTGGCAATCCTCTTCGTATTTAATGCAGGACTTTCAATAGCACAGTTGTGAAATTTTGCTGAAAATGTACTGTCCTGGTCTATCTCATGCTTTGGAAAATTTCAATTGAAAAAAAACACTGTTTGAAGCAACAGGCAATGTAATATTGCCTTCACCTATCTATTTAAGCAACAATCTTCCACTTTCTTTTTAATTCTGCATGCAAGATTAAGGAAAGTAAAAATTCCCCCATTAGATTTCCTGTCTGAATATGTATGTACACACAGATGACAAAGAGAGCAAGCTGATTATATCTGATAATGGTATTTTCTTCTTTTTAAATTTCTTCAGCAGAAAAATTGAAAGCTGATAAAAATTTAAGAGTGTAGTTAAGAGGTCATTAGAGGCAATATCAAAGGTCCTTAAATGCACTCTTGGATTCGTATTAGCATGGAGCATTAGTTCATTCTGGATGTTCTTTGGGGATTTACCTCATCTGGTTTATGTTCCTAACAAGTATTTCTATACAGGATGTTCTTTTAAGCCATATATCATTTGTCCCATGTTTTACCCTAAATATCTTTCAACTCCAAATCATGAATGGTAGTGTGCAGTCGTCTAATAAGGATTCATGCTAATATTTGTGCAACTTCAAAATATAAGGCATATTTCCATATAGTTAGGAAGTAGATAATTCATAATTACATAGGTAAAGTTTAAATAGGCATGGGAAGGATATCTGATTGGTAATGCTCTCTTCTCTTTCTCTCCTTAATTTTTTTTTAATGTTAATTTTTGAGAGAGAGAGAGAGAGAGAGAGCGCGCGCACGCGAACAGGGGAGGGGCAGAGAGAGAGAGGGAGATGCAAAAACTGAAGCAGGCTCCAGGCTCCGAGCTGTCAGCACAGAGCCCAATGCGGGGCTGGAACCCACAAGTCGTGAAATCATGACTTAAGCTGAAGTTGGACACTTAACCAACTGAGCCACCAAGCACCCCATTCTCTCTCCCTCTTTAATAATTTCATTCAAAAGCAAAGGGATATATGCTTCTTAGAAAATGCAGCAAAGAAGGCATTTAAATTCTCTTTTTTAACTAGGAAAGCTATGGAAATGTGGCAGTGTAAATTACATAAATCTCTTCTGCGCAGTTAAGGATAAACCAAAATTTAAAATTCCTTCAAACCCCATTCCTTTCACCAAGTCTTTTCCAAATGAGTGGAATAATAACCCCAATGTAAGGACCAACATCTAATCGATGTAAACACTTGTTTTTGAGACTTTGCTCAAATATCATGGTTCTTGAATCTTTCTGTAAGATTGGCCACGTTGACGATGACCTGTCACTGGTATTTGGTGGTAAGTCTGCACACCCAGCTCCTACCCTTTGAAAGATCACCAGGTAGTTAAAAAATCAGAAGTTAGAATCATGAAGTTTTAGAGTTGGAAGGCAGCTAGGAAGTGTGCAGTTCAACAACCTATTTCACTAATGAGGAATGTGTGGTCTAACAAGGCAAAATGACTTAGTCAATGTCATTTTTACTGGTTCAATCTGTTTTCTCTAAAATATGCTCCTCCCCCCACCTTACAAATGAAGTAAATAAAGATTGAAACAATTTTTATGTTTGAGGTGTAGGCTTGGTTTTAAGAGATGGGAATTAGCCTTTTTCAAAAACAAGTTTGATATGGACTCTCAAAAAGGAAAAAAGGAAAGATGGGAGGGAGGGAGGAAATGAGGGTAGAAGGAAGGAAGGGAGAGGGAGGAAACAAAGAGGAATCTGAGATTTCTAGTATTGGCAGTATTTTTATGGCAGTGAATGCTAGGATAGCAATCATACTGCCCATGTACTGGCAGCCACATATGGGAAACACAAGCTCTGTTTGGCTGCTCTACGCTGACTCTGTACCTCTACCCCATTTGGAAGGCTTTGCACTAAAAATGTTTTCCTTCATAATGTTCTTTAATGCCTTTAAAGCAGTGTTCTTTCATTCACCTTCTGCCTTAGC